AACACATTAGATCATGATTTCAGGGTTACATGATCATTACATTTCATGTTTCATGTTTCTCACACGTACCCACAGTGAGATTAAACATGTGTTTAGTCTTATGAAAAGATTTAAAGACAAAACCTGTGGCTCACTTTGAATGAATAAAACCTGCAACGACTAAAGTGAAACAGTGAAAGCGTTTCTCTGAAACTTTGAATAATGACACATTAAAGTCGGTTGTTGTACCGAGCTCATATGTACACTGCAAAAACAGAAATATTAGCAAGTTTATTTGTTTATTTTTAGATAAGGCTGTTAGCATTAACTAGCTAACTGTGATTAATTAAGTTCTGAAATTAATGCATTAGTTTATTTTAATCTCCTGCGATTTGACATCAATATCTCAAACTCATTATAAATAAACCAAGAAAAAGATACGAGCTAAAATGTAATGAAACATATCTACTTTAAGTGTCTTGAAATGAGAAACGCCGACTAAATAAAACAAATACATGCTACAATGTGTAGCATGTAGGATATCATCTGCTCTGTTCAGGTCAAATAATAACTGAGGGACGTCTCTCCTGGGAGACAGATGGTTTAGATTAGTATCTGCAGTTTAGAGCTGTGTTACATAAACAAAGTTAACAGTGATCTGAATGTAGTTCAGAGTAAATTTATGATTATTATGTGAAAACCAAACTGAGTCCTCACAAAGATAGAAGAAGACGAATACACTCTTGTTGAGCTGCATGGGAACCAAACATCAACACAGAGAACACATTAAGCAGGGTGTGGTCCAACACACACACACACACACACACACACACACACACACACACGTCTATATCGTATAATGAGGTAAGCTAGGCTAACCCCTAACCCTAGCCAGCCTTCTGAATTTCAATTAAAGTATCTTCTGCCGTGTCCTTCATTTCATCATTGTCTCAGTTTGAAGTGTTTTTCCAGCCTCAACATTCTTCCCGAACAGGGAAAGTCGATAACAGCCGTGTTTCCTGATTACATAAAGAGGTTAAACTTCTATTTTCAGTCTCAGGTCCTGCAGGAGGAAACTTCTGGAGTCTGTCCAGCACATTTCAGCAGACGATAAAGAATGTGAGGAGAAACATGTAGCCTCATGCATCACATCCCGATCAGCAGAGAGGAACGAAAACATCACACGTCCTGAGCTCCACATTACCACGTCCTGAGAGTCACATGCCACGTCCTGAGAGTCACATCGCCACGTCCTGAGAGTCACATCGCCACGTCCTGAGAGTCACATCGCCACGTCCTGAGAGTCACATCGCCACGTCCTGAGAGTCACATCGCCACGTCCTGAGAGTCACATCGCCACGTCCTGAGCTCCACATTGCCACGTCCTGAGAGTCACATCGCCACGTCCTGAGAGTCACATCGCCACGTCCTGAGAGTCACATCGCCACGTCCTGAGAGTCACATCGCCACGCCTGAGAGTCACATGCCACGTCTGAGAGTCACATCGCCACGTCCTGAGAGTCACATCGCCACGTCCTGAGAGTCACATCGCCACGTCCTGAGCTCCACATCGCCACGTCCTGAGAGTCACATCGCCACGTCCTGAGAGTCACATCGCCACGTCCTGAGAGTCACATCGCCACGTCCTGAGAGTCACATCGCCACGTCCTGAGAGTCACATCGCCACGTCCTGAGAGTCACATCGCCACGTCCTGAGAGTCACATCGCCACGTCCTGAGCTCCACATCACCACGTCCTGAGCTCCCACATCACAGTCCTGAGCTCCACATTACCACGTCCTGAGAGTCACATCGCCAGTCCTGAGAGTCACATCGCCACGTCCTGAGAGTCAATCACACGTCCTGAGCTCCACATCACCACGTCCTGTGAGTCCATCGCCACGTCCTGTGAGTCACATCGCCACGTCCTGTGAGTCATCGCCACGTCCTGTGAGTCACATCGCACGTCCTGAGAGTCCATCACCACGTCCTGAGAGTCCATCGCCAGTCCTGTGAGTCCATCACACGTCCTGAGGTCCACATCCACGTCCTGTGAGTCCCATCGCCAGTCCTGTGAGTCCATGCACGTCCTGTGAGTCCATCGCCATGTCAATCGCGACGTCCTGAGAGTACATCGCGACGTCCTGAGAGTCACATCGCCACGTCCTGAGAGTCACATCGCCACGTCCTGTGAGTCACATCGCCACGTCTGAGAGTCATCGCCACGTCCTGAGAGTCACATCGCCGTCCTGTGAGTCACATCGCCACGTCCTGTGAGTCCCATCGCCACGTCCTGAGAGTCACATCGCCACGTCCTGTGAGTCATGCACGTCCTGAGAGTCACATCGCCACGTCCTGAGAGTCACATCGCCCGTCCTGAGAGTCACATCGCCACGTCCTGTGAGTCCCATCGCCACGTCTGAGAGTCACAACGCCACGTCCTGTGAGTCACATCGCCACGTCCTGTGAGTCCCATCGCCACGTCCTGAGAGTCACATCGCCACGTCTGTGAGTCACATCGC